GTAGACACTTTTTTGCATCACCTGTGTAAAAGCAAACAAGAGTTTAAACACAGAAATCATTAAATTTGAATTGTATTGTTATCATTGTTATTTTCCTACCTGTAATTCCTGGAAAGTGAAGAAAACAAAGTATACAGACCACAACGATCATCTTAAACAATTCAAGCTAGCGATCCTTTCAGTATAGTTGGTTCACCAGCTGTAGATGAGAATAGATCGCTGTTACCAGATGATGACCGTAGGAGGTGTGAGGAGTTGTCTACTTCATTGCTTTAACTAGAAGAGAAAAGTGCTGTCCTCATACGACAGTCTGTGCAAGTGATTATTTCATTTATTGAGGTCTGTCTCCACCTACTGTGGTAAGGGCACTGCAAATGAAGTAGATTATGGCACACTCAAAGTTAACATGACCAGAAGTGGACACTTTAACTATCATATATTAAAGCATTTACAATTTTAAACACTTGCTAATTATTTCTCTTTCATAGATTTAAGGCACAAATATCATACATTTTTCTTTTTGTCTTGTACAATTAAAGCTATAGAGACATGTTTTTGATTTATAAAGTCAGAATATAAAGAATAACTGTCATAGATAAAAAGCTGCAGGTGCATGTATTGTGTGGTCGGTACCACCGTAGAGGAGATTAGTAGGTAAGACTTTGCACTGACACCGTGATGGGGTTTTTGTTCAGCTACTGGGTGCATCTGTATCACTGTGTTTGCTCACAGCACAGAAATACAAGCCTTTGTCTTTAGCCTCCAGATCCTTCACTGTGAACGTCCCAGTGTAAGCGTCAGGCTTGGTGGCTGTGAATTTCTCCCTGCTGAAATTTCCAAAGTCATGATCAGGTTTTGCTGTAGTTGTGAACACAACAAGTTTCATAGTTTCCCCAGGCAGCTGTCTGTACCAATACATCTGAGAATAGTCTACACTCTTGGTATGTCTGCAGTTTATTGTTACGTCTTCGCCCTGTTTTTTCCAGATCGTGGAGTTTTGGGTGACATCACTCCCATCACCTACGAGTTTAACAGAAGATGTTACCACACACAACTTTTTATATGTAGCATAGTGTTTCACTCAAACACTGTAAAAAAAAAAACAAAAAAACATTCACAACAACTGCAAAAACATTAAAAATGTTGATCAGACTGCAAATTACCTGAATCCCACTTTAAAATGAAGAATAATCCGAGGATGACTTTGTTGAGAACTGTATTCATGTTCTGTTGGACAAAAGGTGTCAGCATCGTATATACTGTAGGTACAGAGATATGTAAAGCTGCTGGTGAGACTGTCCCTCTAGATTATATTGTCCCAGATTCTGAGGAACTGCTCTATACGTAGCAAGACTTTCAGTCCAACTGCAGATGTAATATAATTGGTACTCTGGTTCCCCCTACAGTCCATCAAAGCCATTTTACTTATGTTATCATTTGAAATTCATAAAAATTAAACTAATATCTTGTAATTAAAAAATAAATAAATACTGTCTGCTGTTACTTTTATGTTGCTATGGCTTTTCTAGCTGTGAAATAAAAGTTTACACAGCAGTCCTTCTGTGTTTTACTCAAATCACAGTGACTAAATAGCATCAGTTGAAAGGGTGGTGAAGGT